ACTCCTATTCTATTGATATGGAAAACACTTTATATTCTGATATACAAGAAATGCCTATATTCCTTACCTCTCTCTACATGCAAAGAATGTCAATAAACAGAGAATTTGGAATGATGGAATAGGATGAACAAGGAGGAAGGGTCTGGTTAGAAATGTAAGTGGTTCAATTTTTAATGAACTAAAAGTAAATTAAAACAATATATAATGATTGGTTAATACGTACCTACCTTTTAATAAAATCTACATTGAGCTTATAGTAAACAATAAGGTACTATTTCTACTAAAATAATTAAACAGAATTACATTATTCACTAGTCACTAGTTCTTCATTGTGATTTTAAATAATGAAAACTCAGTAATTCAGAGGAATGATTTAAATCAATTTGTTTGCAATTGAATCCACTCTGATTGCAGGAGGGCCTATGATAACACTGTAGCCAGATGCGTATTTCTGTTTCTCTTTCTGTTTGTTAGGTTTTATCTCTTTGTTACTGTTTTACTTTTGTTCCATTTGGTCCTGTTTTGTCTTGTCTTTTCTTTCCCTCTTGTGTTTGACTAGTGATTTGATTTTCTTTATAGTTTATATTTGTGGTGGGTTGCTTACTAAGCAATTTGGCCTCATATAATACAGCTGAGCATCCCCAACTCTGTTCTCTCAGTAAAACTCAGCTTGTCACCTTATCAGCATATCCTTAAATTTTGCATTTCTACGTCTATGCACAGATACAGCCTGCTCATAAAGATCAGCTCACTCCTTTCATCAGAGGAAGTAGACTAATGTCTACAAACAGTTATGCTACCAACTTCTTTCCACTCAGTCACAAGATCCTTTTGCACTCTGTTCGCTCAATGACTGAGCTATAAGTTGTAAAGCTTTGTAGCTCAGTATATTTTTTGCTATGAAATAGTTACAAGTGCCCCCAACCTACTGTATCCTTCCCCAATTGCTCCAAAGCAACAACAGTGCATGACGTTTTTGTTTTTTTTTTTTCGTGTCAGGAGCTACTTGAGAAACTGCGAGAGAGTTGGCCATCTGCAAGGACATTGCCCAGGGTACGCCTGGATGTTTTACCATCCTGCGGGAGGCTTCTCTTATTTTCCTGCATGAGAAGATGAAGCTGACAGACAGGAGCTCGCGCTGCTCCCCGGATTTGAACCAACAACCTTTCGGTCAGCAGTCCGGCCGGGACAAGGATTTAAACCATTGTGCCACCAGGGGCTCCAACAGTGCATGATATATGCCATTGAGAATTATAATCAATTGTGGGAATTATAATCAATGAACATTAATGCCCTGTCCTGTATGAGCAGAAACACTTTCTATTTGTACACTAGGATTTGTACACTGGGATCTTTAGATCTTTAGATCCAAAGCACTGCCCACAAACAAAATCCCTGAAAGTATCACAGACCCATCTACTGGATTCTCCTTAAACATAATTTAAAAGAGCCAGTATCTTTCATGAATATTCTATCTTGGTTTACAAACAACAATAGGATTTAATTTTCACAAGTTCTCAGAATTTTTGGTTTAGAAAGCTAAATAACAGGATAGATTGCATCTCAAAATTAGTATGTCAAATGCATATTATACTGTAATGATTCAGAATAATTGGAACACCATGGTCCATGAAATAAGCTAACAAAATTCTTCTCTTGCGAAAAGAAAAAGAAAAAAGAACACTGCTTATTACCTCTCTGGAAAAACCCAGATTGTGTGAAAGGTGTTAACAAACCCTATTTTAAAATTGCTCCGTCTATAAAGGTCATACAAGAAACAAGGGGCAGTTAGTCAAAGTTTACTTTCATAATTTAAATTATAATATATAAAGTAAGAGATTCCAAAATTAAACAGATCAATAAAAATGTAAAATTTCAGAAAAATGCTAATATTTATGTGCATATATTACATAATAATGAAATGTTAATTTGACCTCTTCAGGAACACATAAAACAAAGGTTAAACTGTATTACAATGTGAGAACAAAATGTAAACTACCTTTTAGCAAATTAACATTAATGCAGTCATCATCAGCATCTAATTCTATTACTTGTATATGCTTCTCTCAAGATGACACTGGTAATGTGTTTTCTGTACAATTGTGCCCACTTTTTCCCTCTCGACATTAACATGATAGTGTCGAAGGCTTCCTCTGAGGATGCCTGCCATAGATCCGGGCGAAACATCAGGAGAGAATGCTTCTGGAGCATGGCCATACAGCCCAGAAAACACACAACAATCTAAATGATACTTTCTAAATAGCTTATCCATTTTAATCCCATTTTCTCTTACATACAAAAGATTTCAGGTTTTACTTTGTAATTTAGAATATAGTCCTGATTGTGCTTGGGGAAATTTTCCTAGAAAGGCGGTATAAAAATAATTTAAATATATACATCAATGAATAGCTCTCCTTGAGGGAAAAGCAGTGCATATGCCAATGCCCATTAATAATTATCTCTCTATATTAATGCCTCTTCCTCAATAATTTTTATTTTTGCTCAAAGCGGGAAATAGATACAGTACTCATCAGGTGTCAGAAGCATATGTAGCGATAAGGTAACTTTCTCCATATAGATAAACCGTTAATAAAGCATCATTAAAAATAAATTCCCAATTTTGGATATAATGGGAAACAGAGGTTAAAGAATTGGGGAAATGATGGGGAAATAAGAGAAGTGTACAAGAATGCTTCTTGTTCTTGGCTATATAAACCATATTTTATTCAGCCACAACATTATGATTCAGAAAAGTTAATTTGTTTAGCTCCAACAGAAAATGAAGTTTAATTTCAGAATTTGGGAATTCCCCTTCTTTGTCTGCCTAGCAAAACTGCATGGCTAAACAAATAATTCTTCTTATTTAATTTGTAGTTTCTGTTTAAAACAGTCAGTCGAAAAGCATGTAGATTCAGTCTGAGACTCTCTTTTTGTTTTGTTTAATTGTAAAGAAGAAGACTGTGTTCCCAAACAGGGGTTGATGATGAGTAGCTTTCAACAGAATATTAATTCCTCTTATCTAGCCATTTCTTAGGAAATATTTTCCTTTACTGGTAAATATTTGAGGAAAAACACAGCAAAATTAACTTTTAAAAACATTCTCTTGAAAATCAAACTAATAAAAGATGATTAGATCAACCCAATGGATAGCATCTCCTCGGTCTCAGAGAGGGCTGAACCTTAGATAACAATTTCCCCCAAATTTTACTTTTAAGTTGTAATAAATCAGCATTAAATGCTCTTTAAGGAATCATACTTGGTTGGAATAGCCTAAATGTCTTTAACAAGTGATATACCTATCTATATCTATTTATATCTATCTACTAATGTAGATAGATTTTTTCAAAGAATCTCACATTTTTGCTTTTACTGCAAACTATTATTAATAAAGAGTGAGGGTATAGGAAACAAGCATGTCTGGATCTTAACTTTGGTAATTAGTGATCCTGCAGAGGCCAGAGAGCTGTCTACAAAATGGTACTGAAAGTCCCTCATATAGACTCATGGGGCATAGCTACATTGAACACTTATGTGCAGTGGCTGAACACTACAAGGAGCTGATCCATCTTAATATTTGTGGAAACCTAAATGCTGCTCCAGGATTTGGTTTCTCCTCCAAGTTTGGGGAATCAAAATAGCTGAACAAGATTCTACCTTCTTGTGGGTGCTCTGGCTGACATCAACCAGAGCTCACACTTACAGAGCTCTCTTAGCAACATAGTGCTCTGGCTGATGTCAGCAGAGTGCTTACAAGAAGGTATGTGAGGTTGCCACAACTACCAACACAGGAGGGGGTGGGGTGGTTACTGTATGGTACAGTAGGGATTCCCTGTCCATTCCGAGGTGGTTCAGAGAGTCCCAATTGGGCTGCCATTCAGGGCTATTCCAATATCTGTGCTGCCTGACTGGCCCATCATTATTGATCAGTTTCAAACTAATGCTTCATTGCCAGGGGTGAGAAAGGTGGTATATAAATACTGTAAATAAATAAATAAATAAATTACTAAGTATCCCGATTGCACACAGTAAATATCAATATGGTCTTCTGATTTTCCCTAGACGCTTAAAAGTCTGAATGTTCTATATCACTCTGAACATTTAGATTCTTTCCCTGTCCCATTCTCCATTTGAACCTTTAATAAATAGTTACTTGGTTCATAATACAAATATTCCAGACCCACCTACCTTCTTGTGAGAGCTCTGTTGACATCAATACTAGACCTAGCATTATACTCTTGGGTTATACTTAGGGTAACATTACTGGCTAAATTAAAGAGAGTAATTCCTACAGGTAACAATGAAGATGTCTCTACATTATATAATTATGGTTAGTATTTTCTGCCCATAGCAAATCCCCTTGAAAAATAGTTCTAGAGTGCTATTATCCAACATTAAATTGTTTATAGTGGCCTACCTGAAAGTAACCTTTCTGTTACAAAGCAGAGAAGAGATATCTGACACTTATTTGCATTGTCTTTATACTCTATGGTGGGCTGTTATGAATGGGAGAAAGTCCTTAGAATGTAAGAAGAGAGACAAAGACTGTCTCCTACTTTTGTGTTATGTGAATTACTATACTATATGCTTTCAATAAATAAACATAGTTTTAGGGTTGTGCTACATCACCATTCATGAACATTACACGCCTAAAAACAGAAACAATTTAAAAAAATAATCAAGGACAGCTCTTCCCTTTTCAAACATTTTCAGCCATTAAATCATTGTCATTTTCACTTCTGAGACAGTATGGGCTAAATCTAGTTGTTAGTTCTGAGAAGAACAGGCTTACTGAATCAAGGAAGTTCCTACTAATTCAGTGAATTGTCACCCTTTAGTTTCAGCCCTAAACATAACCTTTCACATGAGTCAACTTTACAATACATACCTGTTTGTGTACCACAGATTACTCTCAATGCATATTTCGATTGGTTCATTTGGATCTTATGGTTATTAGAGTAAAATAGTCCGAATGAATGTAAACAACAAAAACAAATAGTTACCTGGAATGCGAATTTTAAACTTTCCACTCTGTCCAAATCCACCTTCTATTAGGCCTTCTTCTCCTGTAGATAGCTTGACTTTCAGCCCCACAAATATCTGGATGTTTGTTTCTTTTTTAAACAGTGAACGACCAATCACACTGTAATCATCACAGAGCTAGAAATTAAAACAAAAACATCTCAGAGTTCTTGATTTTTTAAAAAGATTTATTTTATGGTACCTACAGTGACAGAGCTTCTACCCTCATTTCTGGCTTAGTTTAATTACAAGGGATGTTTCAATTGCTTAGGAAATAAAAGTAACATAAATATTACAATCCAACATCTATAAGTAAATGGACAGTTCTCAGTTTAGCTGCTGTTAAGATCCAGCAATGGCTCAAAATATGGCTTTACTGCACAGTCTGAGAGTTAAGTACAAGAAACTCATGAGAAAAAGACTTTAGATTATACATAAATGTAACTAATAAGAAGATACAGAATATGAGAAAAAGAAAACTGAGTAAATTATATGAACAATTTAAGGAAAAGGGCAGGAGAAACAAATGAAGCTAAACATAACTGGTGAAAGCAGGAGGTGTTTTGAAAAAGCCAGAAGCATTCAAAGTCAGAAGAGGCCATGGGATATATAGAAAGACAGAAATAACGGGCAAGCTGATCATGAGACACAGGTGGTTTTTTTAAATTAATATTTTATTGGGGGGGAATGTGATGGGAGTACATAAACAAGCTATTTCAAAATTTGCATGAGACACAGGTTTAAAGGGAGTACAATAAAACAGACAATGGCTGAATGAAAAGCAAGGTAGCACGGAAACAATGGTTGGTGGGAAAAGGAATTATGACTAAAAATATGGGACATGGATTTTAATGTCATAGTGATAAAAAGTGAGAAGTCTAGACACACAAAGGAGCTGGAGCACTTTTATAAATTGCACAGTAAAGAAATGCTGCTAATTCTGTCTTCTGTTATGTTATGTGACAAAACAATCTTAAGGACATAATAAGAATCAAGATTCAAGAGCGTGGAGATGCTAATACTCTGGTTTGAGCTAACCATTATATTCCTGGGCTACAAAGTTCTCAGCCACTTGGCATTGCAAGTATAGCTACAACTTTCACCTTTACGCTACCCTTCTTTTACCTATATCCTTGTACCTGCCTGGATAAAGCAAACTGTTACCAACATAGCTTTTAAAAATTCAACTCTGAAAGGAGTTTGTCATCGTGTTGATTTGTTCAACCTCATGTCTTTAACCACCTGTATTGAATTTTAATTTAAAAGAATTATTAAACCAGTGGGAGTCATCATTCCAAATTTGGATTCATAATTAAGCAATCAGGTACAAGAGGCAGCAAGCTCCTTGCACAGGGAAAGATAAAGGACCCTCCCTGGGGCATTGGCAAGGCAAAGAGCAATCAAGTGAGCCTAATCCCCAAGGTGTGAATATCTTCATATGCTACTAACCCCTGAAGTCACGATGCCTCTGTGTCATAACAAGAGTCTTGACATGCAAAGAAATAAGAAAACGTTGCCTTACTGAAGGGAAAGCTACTATTCGATTCTTCATTAAAATCAGTATTGCAGCTCTATTTCACAATGATAACCCAGCATAAGAAACACAGAACAAAACAAGTGAATCTTTTTATAAGTGGCATTTAAAATTCAGATTACAAGTTCAGGCGCTGCACAGAATTCTTTCTAATCTGGATGGCTGGTAAAATAACCAATTTCTCCAAAATATTATGTGCAAATGTCATGGGGTTCATGGAACAGAATTACTACAAGGACTGTTCCAAAGGCCAAGTCAACAGTTGTCACTAGTGGTATCTTTTAAAATATAGTGCACAGCATTCCTATAAACACTACTGTGAAATCACAGGATGGCTACCAAAATGGGGGTAAGGAATGAGATCATAGAATCATAGAATCATAGAATCAAAGAGTTGGAAGAGATCTCATGGGCCATCCAGTCCAACCCCCTGCCAAGAAGCAGGAATATTGCATTCAAATCACCCCTGACAGATGGCCATCCAGCCTCTGTTTAAAAGCTTCCAAAGAAGGAGCCTCCGCCACACTCCGGGGCAGAGAGTTCCACTGCTGAACTGCTCTCACATTCTTCCTCATGTTCAGATGGAATCTCCTTTCTTGTAGTTTGAAGCCATTGTTCCGCATCCTAGTCTCCAGGGAAGCAGAAAACAAGCTTGCTCCCTCCTCCCTGTGGCTTCCTCTCACATATTTATACATGGCTATCATATCCCCTCTCAGATTGTGAAGAAACGTGCCAAGAGGAAGGAGCATCAAGCCAAAACTGACCAGGACTGCCTTATACCTGGAAACCTGGAAACCGATGCCCTCACTGTTGAAGAACATGCGAATCAAGAATATGGCTCCACAGTCACCTACATATCCACCACCAAGGCACTACACTTGGAAGGCCATCATACTCAGACAACGAGGGATCCCTCTTTTCAAACAACCACCCCAAAGCTACCGACAATTATTTAAAGTATTAATACAATTCAGTAAGTTCATCAGCTGTAATGGAAGCAGCAGGTGGCTTTCAGTAACCTGGCAAAACACAGAGAAAACAAGTAACTATTAAGAAGCTGAAGTTCTGCAATTATAAAACCAGAGTTATCAATAAAATAAGCTTGTTTTATGCCTGACTTAAATACATGCATAAACAGTGACCACATCTTCTTTTGCCCATGAGATGATATAAACAGTGCCTATTCCTAGTTTTGCTTTACAATTTACACTAAGTATAAATTACCCAGCCTAATCATATAGATTATTTTTGATTTTTTTTTTGGGGGGGGGGAGAGAATGCATACCCTAGGTCCATGTTTACTAGCTAGTTATTAGAGACTATGGGGCCATGACCTTTATCTTGAAAAAGAGACACACTTGACAAATGTCGCATTTTTCCTAGTGTGAACAGTTATTGTATTCAAAATTGTCTTTATTTTAACACAGTCCTCTCCTGCTTTCGATACGTTTTACAAAAGCTTATTATCTGCTCCCACTGAAACCCAACTCGTATTATTGTACCAGCAATTTAACTCCAATCACTGGATTCTGCCTTAATCCCCTTTGAATGCTCCGAACATCTCCTACAGCAATCGCTTTGCCCATTAACTGAGCAGCCTTTTGGGCTTTGGTTCTCTCTCTCTCATTCTCTCTCTCTCTCTCTCTCTCTCTCTCTCTCTCTCTCTCTCTCTCTCGTCTCCTGTTTCTTCTAGTTATAAAATATGAAGTTGAAAAACCAAATGCTGCAAAAGACAACAACGGATTCATACTCTTCTTTTGAGGCAGCAGACAGGGGCCTCCTCGTGAGGGCAGACTAATTTTATTAACTTCAGGGAAACTTCAAAAAGCTTAAGGGCTTTAATGCCAGACAGAGACGACCCCAAAAGTCAGTTTAAGTGCTGCATAAACAAAGGATTAGGTCAAGAAAAAGCTGAAGGCTCATTGCATTTCTTGTTTATATTGTCATATGACCTAGTGGGAGTGGAAGAGGGTTGCCTTTCTAACTTTAATCCTCCATGGTGTACGGTGGCGCTTCAGTTCACTGACCTACATTACAATAATATTTTTTTAAATTTATGGGAAGAGGTGCAGCATCAAACTCACTTAGGGAGCTTCCCCCCACTTCTAAAAAATAGAAAAATTGGAAAGGGGGAAAAGGAACAAATGTTTCTGACTAGTAAATTCTCCCTCTCTTGCTTAGGTTAGATCAGCAGCTTAGAAAGGGATTTCAAGTTCAAAGGGATCGTTTCTGTTGCTCTTGTTTTATGGCTTAGACCAGAGGACACAATAGCATTGATTTTTTATGAAATATTCCCTCCCCCTTGGCTTTTGTGTTTGCAGGGGGAAAAAACAAATAGTACTGTATTAACATAGGTGAAGACTCAGTCACTCTTGCTCTCCCTTACACACACAAACTTTAATACAGAGTACACAGTTTTAAAATCCTTTGATTTAAATATTATTTGCATTGCAGTATTATGTTTGCAATGCTGTAGCTACGTTTTGCGTGATGACATCCAGCACAAACTCATGGTTTTAATTCCACATGAAAAAAAATCCTTCAACAGTACCTCCTCCTCCTAAGAGATTCTAAAAGTCAATTCTAATTTTAGAGTAATGCAAACTGCAGTCACTTTGTCAGTCTCTGAAATACCTCACTGCTCATATTTGGAAGGTAAAAGTCACTCATGCACTTTCCTTCTACCTATCGGGGCCAAGGGAAGAATGAGCACAGAGCCAGAAATTAAGGGATGGAAAGAATTAGAGAAGTCAAGGAGGGGAAAGGGGACAACTCAAGAATTAATTTAAAACCTCCATGTCCAAATTGTACAACTCAGGTGCATATTAAAGAGATTTGAACTTACTAAAACAAGAAAAGTTCAAACTATGGTTTATTACACTCACCTTTTCAATAAACAATAGTTAAGATTAACATGACATAATGTTCAATTATTGCTAATGGAAAATTCAAGAACAACTTTTAAGTTTTTTCCTTATGGCCATGAGGGAGAATCACAACAGTTCAGACCTGTGTCCGCGTAGAGCCAGCTTGGCATAGAGTTTTTGTTAATTTGTCTGAGAATGACTCTATATTGTAGAGTTGTAGTGTCCACAGCATTGAGCCATGACAGTGCCAAACTACAGTGTAGATGCACCCTTGGTCTCCAGGAGACTAGAATTCAAATTTCTACTTAGCTATGGAAACCTACTAGGTGACCTTGGACAAGTCACACTCTCTCAGAGGAGGCATTGGCAAACCTCCCCTGAATAAATCTTATGAAGAAAGACCTTAATAGGGCACCATAAGCTGGAGTTGATTTAAATGGACATGACAACAACAATCAAATGAAAGCTGCCCACTCTTTTGTAAGATAAGAGAACAATAAAAGTAGATTTCTAGGCTTGGCCTCCTTAGAGAAAAATGAAGATTGCTAAAACAAGAATGGAGGAGGTGCTATAGCAAGGTCAAAAGCAGTAATAAACTGTCAAGGAAAGACATAAATGTGACAAAGGCATAGAGTGGAACACAGTTACTTCAAGAGCAACAGGAGCTGAAAACATTCCAAACTTCTGGAACCAAGAAATCACCATCAGAACCATTCCAACTTAATGGTTCTGATCAT